TCAACACAAAGAAAAGCAAATGAAATTTAACAAATTATATACTTATTAAATTTGAAAATATAGTAGTCACTCACTTTGACGATCTTCGGAAATACAGTTGGGTCCCTTCTTTAAACAATTGAAGTAATATTTCGTAAATTTTTCACTATTTAAAATTTATTCCATGTCTAAATAGTCATAATTTTCGACCGTTCGAACCCAAGCTACGCCAACTGTGGCAAAAAATACAATAAGGACGAACGTCTTCATTATTTCACATCTGGCTGACGAGGTCTATGCACTAATTTATACCTACAGTTTACATAAAAATGGTAAAGAGAGAGGTCACATACGTCAGAGAGGTGAATCGCACAGGCGCACATAGTTTGGAAATGTCCTGGGAACTTGCTTCCATTGTATTCTGAGATTGTGTTGAAAAATATTTTAAAGCACAATGTTAGTAATGAAAATTAATTGTTTCAACAATTAATTTAATACAATAGTAAGATACAGGGTGTCGTATTTGAAATACCGAACTATCGATTTTTAAAAGTTGTAATACCTTATATTAAAATTATATTAAAATTTAATGTAATTGACATTACAACAAAGCGCGTACGTCTGCTGATCTTTCCATAAAATATTGTAACATAGATTTTGAATAAAATTGACACCGAGAAGATCCTTTGTCCCTGATCATATTAAAGTCGTGAGCAGAACTTGACAACTAAAAATAATATCTAACTTAACATGAAGAAGAAGATTGGAGTAGTCATTATCAAAATTTCAAACTTCGTCCTTATACTGTGTTTACTTTTCTGTAAACGATTTAGGATTTCAGGATAACAAGATTTTCAAATGACAGGAATCGACGTGATAGGAAGACACCACTTTAACAATCTTAAAGCGGAGGAAAATTTATTTGAGCATTAAACTTAGCATACACACACCAACTTGGTTTTTAATTGCTGATTACACTGAGCTCCAATTCGAACTTATAATACCCTGTCAATCATTTACGTCGCTGGTGACTGAATCGGCTCACATCTGTTCCTCTTAGATACATATATGAGGCAGCTGTTACATGTAATTTCTAAACTGGAATATATTATAATATTTTGTAAATACACCAGTATTCCATTTTAATGTAATGGAGTATCAAGGATGTGGCACTGACTTACTTATTTACTTATCAACTTACTTATCTACAACCATGGCCCACTAATCCTACTATTATGACCAGTGTTGGGCAGTATCTAGATACCTGTATCTAAAAAAAGTATCTAGATACATTTTTGGGTATCTAGTATCTGTATCTAGATACAATTGAATTTAAGCACAAAATATCTGTATCTAGATACAAAATTAATGGCGCAGATACAGATACATTTTTCTATTTCACTTTTTTTTCAGTAGTCATTAGTTGAGTTATACTAGTAGTAATTTTTGATACTTCATGTTGGTGATTTTGGTCACATAAACAAAAATAGAGGTAAGAGGTCCACTCATAGTGTTCTGTCACGGAAATTTTCATATTTTAAATACCATCATTTCCTACATTGTAGCCTTCAGTACTTATACATCTTTAAATATAATCCTGAGGGGTAATAAATCTAAGCCATGGTAAGATGGTATTTAAAAACCATAAACCACAATTCACTATTACCTGCGTTTTACGCTTATCCGGGGCAATGCATTTCATCTGTGTACTTGAGCAACCCGGGTCCGGTAGGCCCGCTGGTTGTATTTGTGTTATTAAATAAGAGTAATTTTAATAGTAACAATATTTGTTTAAGGTACGTTATTATTTTTAGAAAATAATAATTGCGTGTTACATAATGATTAATTTTTTCAATTAGTACAAATTAGTTCTGTAATCAACTAATCGAATGTTCAATATATACATTTCTCTCGCATAAATCGCATATTTGTTACTGTTTTATACCTTTATTTTTCAGACAAATGTAGCATCTTTTCCTGTTGCCACATGTGTCATTTCTTCACTTTTTCTTTGTTAAACCTAACGCGAGGCAGGCTTGGCAGGTCCGTTTTGCCCTAGAATGTGCCGATTATGTTTAAGTGTAAATCTTGGGCAATAAAATTAATATTTTTACAACCCTCGGTAGAATAATTTATCGTGATATATTCTCAGAAATCGTGAAACGAGATTAAAATAAAATGAGTTTCAACAAAAATCTGAAAATTTAAAGTTGCACTCTGGTGATTCCGGCCTACCAGGCAGCCTTTGATCCTATAAGGGGTTTAAATATCTTTCTAAGAAATTGTACTTATTTTGCCTTATTAAACGGAACCAGCAATTCTTCCTAAAATGTATGTACCTGCCGCACCGGGATAGACGATTACCGGACGTGGTCATAAAAACATCGTAAGCCGATATTGAAGAATAATAATTTATGACAGGTTGCCGACAACAGACCTTCAGCACAGAATAATCATTTCCCGTATTCTTTTGAAATACTAATTTTAATGCTGGAGATAATTATTAGATATACTCAAACACAATTTGGATACTGTAGTATAAAAACAAAAAAAAATATTCTTTTTAAGCGTACATAATAAATATTGCACAATTTGTGACACATCAAACAGCGAAGCGATGGCCTATCTGCAGGAAAAAAGAAAAGATTTTTCAGTCTTGAATAACCATGCTACAGTAAAATGTTTATTTTTTAAATTTAATACCACAATCCCTTCTTGAGCACCTGTGGAACGGGTGTTTAGTAGCGGAAACCAAATTCTGACACCAAGAAGAAATAATTTAGGTAACAATACGTTCGAAATGTTGTTAATTTTAAAAAATTAATTAAACAATACATAAAAAAATACATAAACATGTTTTCGGTTATTTTATACGCCAAAGCTTCAAAAAGTATCTTGTATCTGTATCTAGATACATTTCGAAAAAATCGAAAACAGTATGTATCTAGATACTTTTATCTTCCATGTATCTATATCTGTATCTAGATATTTTTAAAAGGATCTGTCCCCAACACTGATTATGACATCCTTTGTTATGAATTATGATCTCTAACAAGAGGAAATGTACAGTTACAATTACTGTATTTAATTCTTAATTGCCTTTAAAGAGATATTTTAATTCCATAAAAATATGACAAGGCACGATACTAATACGTACAATTTAAATGTCAAATTGTTGCTATTGGTTTCGAAACAGTTGTGACGTTAAGCACAACTTGAACTTGTACTTCTGTAGCATAAATTCCTCTCCCTTGGAAATATATCATAATGTTGTGGAAGTAGTTACGCTCATGGGTAAATAAAACGCTACCTTACCTTACCTTCCTCTTGTATGTGGCAGATTCTGTGAAACATTCTTTGTTCCATTACACCATTTACGATGTAACTTCCAACTACAGTGATCCTTTGATGTTCATTTGCGAACGATATTACACCGAACTTCTTTATTAAAGAATTGAATTTCATTTTATTACTAGAGCGATTCATTGAAGTGAATAACTTTTTTAAGTTAAATTTTAATTTGGTAGCTTATTTGAAACTCTTTCAAAGGAATAAGTCGTTTTACTTTGGTATAATCAACAAAAGTCAGTCACTCACGAAGATCGTGGAGAGACCATTATTTTAAGTTAACCCACACACTTCCTTATGGTTTCTTAGACCTGGCGATAGAGCCGTTAGCTATACATTTTCTAGATGAATAGACCAAAAAGTGTTAGAATTGTAATCTAAAATAATTATTCCGTAGATAAAAATATTAATCTCGTAGAGCTACTAAGTAATACAATTTTTGGTAAAATTATTCGATTTATTGTTTTTATAGTCTCATTACTGTAACGGTTAAAAAACTATTTTATTTTAGTAAATAATCATCTGTCATACTAATTTTCTAGCTTCTGTTTGATTAAAATAGTGGCAACAAATTAACATTAATTTTGCCAATTTAGCTTCAACTCAAACACAAACAAGCGTATTCAAATAGGAAATATCTCGTCTCTGATAGGGCCTTTGATGTTATTGGTTCATAATTATCATTAATCAACCAATCCATGAATTTATTTTGTGTAGAAATGGATACTCTTTTTGTGTGTTCGCAAATATTTGCCTATCAGAGTGTTCTTTACAAAATTCTCTGGCCTTCTTTGGGAGTAAGATTAGCACAGAGTTCACGCTTTCCTCTGAAATTTTATATGGCATGCAAACAAATTCACCCTCACAATTATCTTCTTTGTTTCCTGTTTTTATAAATTAAGTTCAAAGATGAACAATGCACCAGTCCGGGGATTGTGGACTCAACGAAAAAAAAATCGCGAATAAGACGGACTCATTCTTAGATGATAAGTGACGTTTACTAAAATCTGCTTATTCCGTTGGTCTCTTTCGTATTTGTAATTTTACGTGTACGAATCTTAGTCTCCGGAAGAATGATTACGTCATTTCAAAATGTTCGTCCGTCCGTTCGTCTGTCTGTCTGAGTAAATTTTTTTAGCGTACATAGGGTGTCCCAGAACATTAATTTATCAGCCTCTAGTATATTAACACGTGGATTTTTTCGCGTTTTTAACAATGTGAAAACACCGCCACTAAATTTATAATTAAAATTCTTTGCTTGTGGGCTTTAAATCTTTCATGACTTAATGAGTATTGGACAATCCGTCAGCAGAATATTTTTGTTGATCTTGGAGGAGAAACAATAGTCCCTATTTCGTCTTTCATTGTCTTTTCGGGAAAATCAATATATCTCTTCTGAAGACAAGAAATTAACCTTCCTTTCATCTAACTTGTCCCCGATATCCCTGCTTCAATGCTGTTAGATTGAGTGGCATAATGAATAATACCTAATAAGAGAAGTTTATTTTAGGTTTGGAATCAACTGCGAGTTAAATCATCATGGAAACTGTGCATTCAGATTCTTGTGGTAATTTTTTTTTTTAATACAAATTGTACTCCTTTACGGGCAACTGTATGAGTGAGTATATCATCTTTCCTAATAATTTTGCTGCTCTCTCGCCATTTTTCCAACTTTATCTGTGCGAGTTTTTATTGAAAGACCACATCTGCAAAAACAGGTTTTAACGGCAAAAGCATGTTTTTATTCGTCACGTATCCTTTCAGAAATTTACTTCTTTAGTTAGACTAATATCGGCTTCTCTATAAGATATGTTCTCTCGCTTGATCTTTCCGTTTGAAGTCAACGTTCTTAATAGCATATGCGCTTCGAAAAATGAAAATACGGAAAATAATCTTTAGTTACGTATTGCGACATATTGTTGGAATTTATTGTATACATTACTTCTCCACTTATCTGTCTTCAAATCTAATCATTTACGAAATGTTTTATCATGAGAAATTGTATTTTTTCCTCGTAGCAGATTCGAATTTTCTTATTTAGTGAATTCTCCACATTCCAAAATAATGAGCCAAATAAAATTCTCTAAGTTTATTTTTTACAAAAGGCTTCCCGAAAGACTGGCAACATTCTCTTCTATTTCAGGCGGATTCAACTTACTTGGGCACTTAACGTTTAAGCGTTTGCAAAAAATTATAAAATTGATTTTTATTTTTTTTTATGATAACGAGATACGCGAATTAATTTGTTTAACCGTTTATTATGCTTATGGTAAAACCTTTCACAGATTTCACGGCCTTCGCTTTTGTAGGTTCAAATTTAAATTGTAAAATGTTGTTACAGAATCTTGATTTTTTCCCAAAAATGTGGATGTTAAAGTAAAAAATCAAGATGGATTCATAATCTAGGAGTGCAAAAGTATCTTATTTTATAAAATTTAAATCAAATTTACTATCCAACATTTAAAGAAATCATAGGTGACGTCATAAGTTTTACAAATTTGACGTATGTCAAAAGAGAGTAAAATGAAAGGCTTGCTATGTTTTTGCATTTTTTTTTCATTGTTTGCTTTGATGAAGAATGTTTTGTAATTTTTATTTCTCGAGCGTAAGCGAAGGAAGTATTGTAATCGGGTCTGTCGCTCGACTTTCCACTTTTATGTTGTCTCGACCTTTCATGACCTCTAGAGTACGAACAAATAAGTCTCCCGTTTCCGTTTGTCTGTCCGTGTGTCTGTCCGTCTGTCTGTCCGTCTGTCCGTCTGTCCGTTTGTCTGCAAATAGTAAAACGATTCCCACCAATAATGTAATGACGTCACTTCAAAATTGTACATAGCAAATGTGTTTTAAATTATATAAAATAACATAGCCCTTCACATGTACTTCATGACCAAGTGTTGACTTTTTGCCCGAACGTCCGGATTTTTGGAAAAAATCAAAATTATAAAACAACATTTTGCAATTTAATTTTGAATTTACAAAACCGAATGCTTTGAAATCTTGCAGATGTTTTAAGGATATGATAAACATAACACATTTTTATGCAAAATACATACATTTAGTTATACCCTCCAAAAAATTGATGACGTCAGCCCAAAATATTGCCAAATGAATCCTATCTAAAATGTCCAAAATAGGATGAGTTTTTTGAAAACTTTGAAATATTGCAGACGTTTTGAAGTTACTGTAAGCATTCGTCCTTTTGGTCCCTTTGGTCCTTTTGGTCATTTTCGTCCTTTTGGTACTTTTGGTCAATTTCGTCCTTTTCGTTCTTTTCGTCCTTTTCGTCCTTTTGTTCATTTCCGTCCTTTTCGTTCTTTTCGTCCTTTTCGTCCTTTTCGTCCTTTTCGTCCTTTCTGTCCTTTTCGGTCTTTTCGTCCTTTTGGTCCTTTTGGTTCTTTTGGTCATTTTCGTCCTTTTGATCCTTTTGGTCCTTTTGGTCATTTTCATCCTTTTCGATCTTTTCGTCCTTTTCGTTCTTTTGGTCTTTTTCGTCGTTTACCTCCTTTTGGTCATTTTCGTCCTTTTCCTCCTTTTGGTCATTTTCGTCCTATTGGTCCTTTTCCTCCTTTTGGTCATTTCCGTCCTTCTGGTCATTTTCGTCCTTTTGGTCCTTCGGTCCTTTTGGTCAGTTTCGTCCTTTTCGTTCTTTTCGTAATTTTCGTCCTTTTGTTCGTTTCCGTCCTTTCTGTCCTTTTCGTCCTTTTCGTCCTTTCTGTCCTTTTCGGTCTTTTCGTCCTTTTGGTCCATTTGGTCCTTTTGGTTCTTTTGGTCATTTTCGTCCTTTTGATCCTTTTGGTCCTTTTGGTCATTTTCATCCTTTTCGTCCTTTTCGTTCTTTTGGTCTTTTTCGTCCTTTACCTCGTTTTGGACATTTTCGTCCTTTTCCTTCTTTTGGCCATTTTCGTCCTACTGGTCTTTTTCCTCCTTTTGGTCATTTCCGTCCTTTTGGTCATTTTCGTCATTTTCGTCCTTTTCGTTCTTTTCGTCATTTGGTCCTTTTGGTCCTTTTGGTCATTTTCGTCTTTTTTGTCCTTTTCGTCCTTTCCGTTCTTTTCGTTTTTTCCGTCCATTTTGTCCTTTTGGTACTTTTGGTTCTTTTGGTTATTCTCGTCCTTTTCGTCCGGTTCGTCCTTTTCGTTCTTTTCGTCCTTTTGGTCCTTTTGGTTCTTTTGGTCATTTTCGTCCTTTTAGTACTTTTGGTCAATTTCGTCCTTTTCGTTCTATTCGTCCTTTTCGTCCTTTTGGTTCTTTTGGTCATTTTCGTCCTTTTGGTCATTTCCTTCTTTTTCGTCCTTTTCCTTCTTTTCGTCTTTTCCGTCCTTTTCGTCCTTTTGGTCCTTTTGCTTCTTTTGGTTATTCTCGTCGTTTTCGTCCGGTTCGTCCTTTTCGTTCTTTTCGTCGTTTTGGTCCTTTTGGTTCTTTTGGCCATTTTCGTCCTTTTAGTACTTTTGGTCAATTTAGTCCTTTTCGTTCTATTCGTCCTTTTCGTCCTTTTGGTTATTTTGGTCATTTTCGTCCTTTTGGTCATTTCCGTCCTTTTCGTCCTTTTCCTCCTTTTCGTCCTGTTCGTCCTTCTCATCTTTTCGTCCTTTTCGTCGTGTTCCTCCTTTTCATCCTTTTCGCTCTTCTTGTCCTTTTGATCCTTTTGGTCCTTTTGGTCCTTGTGGTAATTCTTGTCCTTTTCGTCCTTTCGTCCTTTTCCTCCTTTTCGTCCTTTTCCTCCTTTTAGTCTTTTTGGCCCTTTTGGTACTTCTAGTCATTTTCGTCCTTTTCGTCCTTTCCGTCATTTCGTTCTTTTCGTCTTTTTGGTCCTTTTGGTCCTTTTGGTACTTTTAGTCATTTTCGTCCTTTTCGTGCTTTTGGTCCTTTTGGTCCTTTTCGTCGTGTCTGTCCTTTTCGTCCTTATCGTCATGTTCGTCCTTTTCATCGTTTGCATCCTTTTATCCTTATTATCCTTTTTATTCTTTTATCCTTTGTATCATTTCTAGCCTTACTATTCTTTTTATCCTTTCATCCTCTCATCCAAAATTCGTAAAACGACTGTCCATTGTTCTAATAATTCATAATTCGCACAAATCAACATTTCCGTTATATCCTCTTAATGCTTTTAATCCTTTTAATTATTTTAATCCGAAAGGACGGAAAGAACGAACAGGACGAAAATTACTAAAAGAACCAAAAGGACCAAAAGGACCAAAATGACGAAAAGGAGTAGTTATAAATGATGTAACTAACACGACTTTGTTTTAAATACATATATACAGATTAGTATTATTTATATTTTTTTTGCTGTATAAAGGTTATCACACAAAAAGTAAAATTTCGCAAAATCAAATTTTAAATGATAGACTACTTCAGAAGCGAGGGAAGTTCTGTCGAAACGACCTTTGACCAATTTTTTTCGACTAAAAACAAAAGGGAAATAAATTGTGATGTTACTTCAAATGGGTTAAAATGCTAGAGCTTAAAAACGATTCCAGGTAATTTGTAGTTGTTAATAAACAATAACTAACAACTCACTTAACTTGAAAGTATTTTAAATAATAGCCAAAATAACGGTGTTCTAACAAAAATTAAAACGCTAATTGTGAAGGAATTTAAACAATTAGCCGTCCAATTAATTGACGAAACAACAAAACAAATTTCCTTTAACATTCAAAACATGATCTTCGGTTTTTTGCAAGAAAATTCCCTGTCGATACTCCATTAACATTTCCTTGTAGTGGAGAATTCGTACGAAAAATACATTACGAATATTTTTAGAATTTCAAACTACTAAAGTATTTTCGTTCATGTGTGACCAGTTTCCTTTTTATAGCTCCAGTAAATTTTTCTAAAAAAAGCTCCTGAAATTACTCGCAAAATTCACACCGAACTGAGGCGCTTTTGATTCCATTTAAAAACACCAAGGGAACGTGGCAAATGAAACAGAGTTACTTATTATGTATTAAAGCGTCTTGACTGTCGTGCGTTAAATGTAAAGCTCCGAATTTCCATTAAGCAGGCAGGTATGCATGAGGACAATAAATTTAGGTGTTGAGGTCAATCGATACGCAACCCTATCAGTATACCGATACTGATAAGCAGCGAAGCGGAAAATATTTTGAGGGAAACATTTTCTCGTAGACGCTCAACTGCAAGATACTATGCAGTCCTGCGTCAATATTTGCTCAAATGTATTCAGCAAGCGAGTTAAGTACTCAGATATTCGCCTCTAAAATGGAAACAATTTCGCAAAATTGCCACTCTTTATTTTATCACACACGATGTCGAGATCAATTTGCTTGAAAATAAGCTCTAAAAATGATGTATGCGCAGACCTATACGTATCAGAAGCCAGATAACTAGCGAGATGAACTTTAAATAACACAGCAGCGTTTTTGTTATGTGCTAAATACTTGTTGACTTTAGTTTGTAGAAAAATGTGTACGATAATGAATTTTTTACAAATATAATCTAAAGAACACAGGCATAAACGTAATGGAAACCATAATAAACCGCTTTATTCTGCTTTAGATTGACTCATAAGGTAAGTTGTTTATCTTAATTTTTCTAATGGATTTAGATTAGGTTTTAATTTAATGACATTTTATTATCTTGATTTACGTACAAAGCGTTTTATCCCTAAATTACTTCAAAATTGCTACCGGCTTAGAAAAGAATACGACAAAGAGTCGTAAAGTTACCTGATGAAATTAATAATCTAATCTAGAATTCAATTTTAGAAATTATTATTAATTCTTCACCGATGAACTTTTTGATTTCGTTTTGATGTAAGCTGCCAACATATGAGGTATAGGTCTAGATGAAGAGGAACGTGGTTTCTTCCAACACGATAATGCCACTGCTCTTGCAACAACTCAGACTTTAAAGTTTTTAAACGAATTTTGCGATAACAGAACAATTAGTAGAAATTTATGGTCTTCAGACTTAAAAAGGTCGAGGCTTTTTCCTTTATTCATGTTTCAAGAACGTAAAAAATCGACAAAAAACTGTTAGCTCTGAAATGCTTGTTCGGGTTTCTGAAAACAAGAAACGCTGCGTCTGGAATATGATATAGATATTAAAGTTACGTTTATATTGTTTATTGTGTTTCACTTTTTCCACGTTCAAAAAATTGTTTGCATATTTAACTTTAAATTTTGACATTTCATAAATAATAATAATAATAATAATTATATTAAACTAAGATAACCGGTTTTGTGTTAATGGCTTTGGCTCACCACCTCCAGGATTCATTGGTATAGTAGCCTGCATAGATATTGTAGCCGTCCATAGAGTCGAGATTTGCGAATAAAAATAAAATAAAACCGGTTCAAACGGAGCCGACGGTGGCTTGCAAAGTCTGACATCACTCTGGCACACGTTGCACAGAGACGTATTTAATATTAAATGTCATTTTTTCCGTTATGATATAATCTGTTTAATTTCTGAGCTGAATCTCGTCAATAAAATCGAAGCTCTGTTCACTGTACACAAGTTGTGGTATGGTATATTCATCGTTGCGGAGGCAGGTGGAGCGAAAAACCTGGTCATCTTAGCAGCAAACACGCCTATACACTAGTCCACGTGGACTGTTTGTTTCCTGTCATATTTTAGTTTGCTTGAACCAATTGTGTTGCACCAAACGGTTATTACACTTGTTGAAATAAATTTTCAAACTTCCATCTTTCTCTAATTCATCGGTTTCGTAGCTGTGTGACAAATCGTTTGTCATAGATAGAAAATAGTAAGATTACAGTGACCCTAAGATTTTGTGCAAACAGCCTTAAATACACCCCTGTGTGATATGACGCGTGCCGTAGTGACAGAACTTGCAAGCCGTCGTCGGCTCCGTTTGAGCCGGTTTTATTTTATTTTTATTCGCAAATCTCGACTCTATGGACGGCTACAATATCTATGCAGGCTACTATAGCAGTGACAGATGAACGTCTAAAACAATGACTAGTGTGTAACTCTGGGTTTTCTAGTTGTAAAAATGTGGCCGATTTTGTTAATTCACAATGAATCGACGCTCCGTAACGGCTATTGGTCCAAGCGAGAGATATTTTTTGAAAAATTTGTAAAATTTCCTAGTATTAGTAGTTTGGTTTTGCTACGAGCCCTAACAACTAAATATTGGGACACCAAAAATTTTTTATAAAAAAATCACCAAACTTTTTAACAAAAATGTAATTTATTTTAGATAATTAAAATTTTAAAATTAATTCGTTTTTCAGAACTGTTTACAGCACAACAAAAACTGATTTCTAACTCAAACAGTGACATAAAACTCTAAAACAACGTAACATTTTATGACACATAAATATTGGGACACAGCAAATTCAGTAACTGATCATATCTCCTTTTGCCTTAATAACTGCAGGAATTCTTGCCATCATACTTTCAACTAATTTTCTACAATACACAGGAGTTGTTACCGTATCCTACACTCGCTAAATTTCCCGTTGAAGATTGACAATCGCTTGTGATGGATGATTTCCTAAATATTTTTTTATTTCACGCCATACTGTCTCTACTAGATTAGGATCTGGGCTATTCGATGGTCAGGGTAAACATTTATATTATTATTCTTCGTAATAAGTGTTGTAGGTGTGTAACTTGAAGCATCATCCTGTTGAAAAATATAAATAACAACAGGATAGACTGCTTCAGTAGTTGTTAATATTTTTTTACAAAGTCTCTTGATATTTGTTTGAATTTGAAATTTCCCTTCCATGAACGTTGTTAACAGGTCTTTAAATTCCGTTAATAGACATGCACCCCCAAACCATTTTCCGCTTGCAAACTTGACTCTTTGTTTGAGATAATCCATATTAAAATTCCTTTTTTATTTCAATAACTCTTTTTCCACTATTATCTCACCCAGACATCGAATTTGGACTCAGCGTTATATATTACTTTTCTCCAATTTTTATTTTGGTTATATTAACCGGTTTTTCTTGTGGGCAGTTTTTAATTGTGGTTTTACTTTAGCCTAAAATAATATAAATAAATAATAAAGTCCATCAAACATAGCTTTATTTAAGATTTACAATGTAAAAACCAAGGCCTGATTTGTGTATGCATT